ATAGTCTAGGGGTCTTCTTAGGGCTTCTAGTTTATCCTGACTGGATGGAGTTCAAAGCAAACTATACAGGACCAATTCCAGTGGGAAGAAGGTCAAGGATAGTGTTAGAGAAAGAAAGGAAAAAGCACATAAAGAAAGACACCAAATGTCCTTGGACTTGCACCAAAAAACCAGAAAAAGAGCTGACAGGTGGGACACAGAGAGAACGCCAAGTGCACAAAGGACAAACCATTCCCACTTCTAATAGAATATAGGGGAACAAAGGTGGCAGAGGGTCTCAGTAAACTGAAGGCAGTATATGCTCACACCTGTACCATATACACATGTATTCACTCTAGGATCACTATATTATCCAGTCAAGACAGTCATTATATTCACCACACATTTATAGACCATAATAGACATTCACACTCCCCCTTACTAACTCTAGGCTAACAATGGCCAAGACACTCCCTTGACAAACAGCTGCCCACCACAAAGACCAGGCTGAAAAAACAGATTAAGAACGAGTAAAGAAACAGACACCAAGAAGTGGAGAAAATTTCATTAGAGAGAAGTGCCCCAAAGCAAATCCAGTTATGGCAAGCTCTGGGTGTGAGGGGGTCCACCCTATAAAAACTTCGTGAAACAAAGGAGTAAATGGTCCTCATTTTCTGGAACCCCAAACCTGAGTCTTTCTTATCATGGTAGCTATCTCACCTCTCTTCTCCCCACTTTCCTCTCTAAAAATAAAGGGTCTTTTCATTTTTGAGTGCAGAATAAAGAAACAAGCCTGAATTTTAACAAGATCTCTGGGAATAAATGGGCATTGATGTCAGGGAGGCCCACATATAAGTCACCTTCAGTTGAGAAACAAGTCTTTGGTTCTCTTTAGCTACTTCTTCTAACATTTGACTAGAAGGATTTCTCATCAAAATTTCCATTAAAGTGGAGCAGTTTCATATTTGTCTAGGTGTGAGATTACCTTTCATGCAGAGGATTACACTGCTTGGGGTCATTTCCTTCAGAGAAACTAGATCTTTGCCTTAACGACATCACATATTGACTAGGTCAGAAACAAACATAGTACTCAAAGTTTTCAGAGTACTACATTTTAGACAAAATCTTGTTTCTGTAAATATAACATATTTGTCATATTGATGGAAAATATTGAGTGAAAGTGCAATTTTAGTTGTTGACATGTTAAACATCTGTGATGACTTGAAGTTTATGATTGTGAAGTCTGTAATGCTTAGGACAACTTGAACTTCTCTTTCATGTCCAGATTCACAGTCCCCAGTAGAATAGCTTCATTTTTCTGCTGGGAACTCTCAGGTACTCTTAGGGGAATTTAAAATCCCCAGTCCTTCCACTTCTGGAAAAAGCTCACAGTTCTACAACTGGTTGACTGTATTTTCAATGCAAACTGATATAATCCACATTTTGTGAGAGTGGTAAATGAAACTTCCAAAATGAACCAGTGTCCAAAGAATTGCCAGTTCTGTTATTGTCAACCCCGTGCTATTGTACTGTTTTCTATTTTATGAAGTCTAATACATTTAAAGGATGTCCACAGTCTCTTTTATTATGTAGATAAGTCCAAATAATATTTGTTTTAAAATTCTTTGTATAATGGTTTTAAAGTATCTCCACAATCTCTTCCAATGTGTTGTGAAGATCAAATGAGATTTATTTTGAAATTCTAGGTATAAAAGCCAAAATAGTATTTAAATTGTAATGATTTGAATTGGACATTTAAAATACAAAAATAGCAAGTTTAAAAATGAAAAGCTGTGTATCATATTCATATTTGATTTTTGAGGTAAAACATGGATAAGCAATAATACTGTGAGATGAATTTGTTCCTTTTGATGACTTATATTGCAATCTAGAACTTTAAGCAATTGAAAAATAGGTTTAACTATGCAAGTTACTACAATTTTCATATAAGAAATATTTCTAGTGATACTGATAAAATGGTTTGCTATATTTAGTCAATGATAATGTTCATTTAAAATTTTAAGGTGTCATTTACATATTGGCCTTACCCTTTTATCCAGATCTTAATATATATCTGCAACTTAAACAATCAAGAGTTTTAAAACAGTTCATTTCAAATATGGTAATGTGAAGATAAAGAATTTTTTTATTCATTAAGTATATTGGCACATTTTAGGTATACAATATGATGACATTCATCTTTGGGAATTTGTACCTTTACATGGTATACCTTCATTCTTTTTTTTCCCCATTTCCCTGCCCTTCATTCAACCCCTTCACCCCTTCTAATTTACAAAGACATTGTTTCCATTTTTTTCTCAGAGTTATTTTGTTTCTCTTCTTTCCTTTCCCTTTCGCTTCCCACTTCCCCTTCCCATTCCCCTTTAGAACTTTTCTTCCTATTTCACATTATCTTCTGCACAGCAAGAGAAATCACCAACAGAGTGAAGAGACAATCCATTATGTGGGAAGAAAAATTTTTATCATATATTTGAGGCTTGCCACATGATGCATCCATAGTCAAGTAAAAAATACAGGAAAGCAAAGTAGCATTTTCATCTCATATAATAACCATTCTGTTGGTGGTAGTGATGAGAGTTGTCCGAATCTACTACCTTGGGAAATCATTAGTAAACCTTCTTATTAAGGCTTAAAACTATAGTTCTCATATTGTCCTCCTTTATTAAGACAATGGTGAATTTAGATGCAGAAAGAACCTTCACAAAATGTTAATATACATATGAAAAACACAACTTCTGTCACAAGATTTTACATGAGACCTCTATTTTGTACTCTAAATTGATGGGAGAAAAATACTCCGTGCTTCAAATAGAATGGAAAAAATATCTTTTAGTTGATAACTTTTAATGAATTCCATGATTAAGGAAACATATGCATCCAAATCTCTGAGCCTTCCCTTTATCTCAGTTCCACCTTTCTTTGAAACATCTTCTCTTGGTCTTTGATTTTTCTATTCTTGTGTACACCTATGTTTGCTATTCTCTATTTGTTTCTCTTGCATTCTCTTGTTTACTTCCACCTACCTCAATTTCCCTTTCCACTGCTTCTGTCAGAGTTCTCCTCTCCTTTTCTTCCTATCTTCTCTCTTTTAAAATTTTATTAAAATGCTCTACGAGAAATATGGGTTACATATGACTACACACAATATGAGAATACCAAGTGTTCTTCAGTCACTTAGAGTACAGTCTTTCATGGTTTTCATCATTATGCTACTTTTTTCCAAAATACCTTCACTTATGTGATCTTAAATTTATTACATGATGAAATTGCTCTCAGGAAAGTCACTAAGCTTTTCTGAATTTCTACAATCAAATAATTGTTAATTCCTCATCCTACTAGAGCATTTATTTTTGTGTTTGCTACTACACTTTACTTTGTTATTCTTGAGAATCTTCCTTCTCCTTAGGTTCATGTTTTAAAGAACACTCTGGTCTTCATTTTTTATGATCTCACTTTTGCTTCTCATTGTTCTGTCCAGTGCTCTAGGTTCCAGTAAGAACTGAGTATCTGAAATGGAAATTTGCTAAAAGTAAAAAGTGCTAGAGAGAGGAGAGAGGAATCAGTTGGAAAGATGGGCAGGAGGATAGGAAAGCAAGGCAGCAAATGAACAGCCAAGCTATGGCTCAACACTATCTTCATAAAGATTGATGTCACTGCTGTTGTTGTTTGATACCACAATTCCCACCAACAGAGCTATTTCTGTGGACACAAGTTGCATTTGCTGAAATCTTGATATTATTTCTTCAACTGTCTTTTCTGTATTGTCTCTGTACTTTCCCTACCTACCCACATTAAAAACCCTACCTATGTGAGTTTTGGTAAATCTAGATGAAGTGCCCTCACTCTGTGTGTGAGGGCTATGGGAAAGCCAGTTCCTGCCCCTATCACCTGCTCCAGTGTATGGTAGCTGCTTCTCACCAAACAGATTCATGTTAGAAAGGGTTTCGGTGTGACCTCTTAGAAAATGACATCTGTTTGTATCATAATCTCTATACCAAAACTTTCTCTGTATTTTCTCTTTTCCCATCTCTTTCCTTTGTGTGCCCTCACTGACAGTTTACCCATATCTGTGCCTGCAATGACACCAATGTCAGCCATGTTATTTCTTCTCTTAGTACATAGTAATAGTTTTACACATTTAGTTACATTTCACATGGAATTTGAAGAGATTCGTTCTCCACAAATTTCAGAATGAACTGTAGTTCTCAGTTTTATTCTTATCATGTACTGAATCACCACTTCTTCACTGACTATCCTTTAATACCTCAAATGTATTCAAAGCTTAGAGACTCTTCATTCTCATAATTATTAAAAGTGTTGAGTCATAGATGGAGTAGGCACCACACTTAAGTTTCCATCATCAGAGGAACATTTTAAAAGTACAAATGCTTTTCTCATACTTGAATTCATTTTTGTATGTTATACCTTATAATCTATGTTTTGCACAATAAGCTTCCCAACACCATGGAGATATTATATATGCTTTGGGAAGTGCTAGAGAATTGCAACAATTTCCTGATTGCTAGTCTGGACTTTAATGCCACCCACCCTAGGCAATATGTACACTATCAAATATTTAATTTAAAGAATATTGTACCATATCATTCCAGATTTTAAATTATCTTAGTGCAAATGTGTTACTTGAGAAGTAGAATTTAAGTTTCTTCACAAGAGGTTCAAGTCAGTTTATATTCATGGCCATTCATATAGGTTTGCTGTAGACTGTGCACATGTTCAGGACATAGAGTTTCTAACTACATTCAATTGCTTTCAATAAATTGGTCCAAAACTTAGAAAGCATCTCATTTCCTGTAAATTTTTTACTTCTGCTCATTCATTAAGCAAATTAATCACAGTTTCTACCAGTTTAATTTCTTAAAATTATTTTCTCCTATTACTGTATTATATATTCTGACAAGTGCACTTTATAAATGTATAAAAGTGATTTTTTCTCTACTCATATATTTTCAATTTATTGTTTTGAATCATTATAAATCTTCATTCATAGCCTCTGTATTTCTTTTCAGAAGACCTCCAGTGAGAAAATGGCAATGAAAAATGAAACATGGCTGACTGAGTTTATCCTCACTGGACTCCCACATCAAACAGAGTGGCAAATCCTCCTGTTTATCCTGTTCTTGGGAATATACCTCATCACCATTGTGGGGAACCTGGGTCTTATTACTCTCATCAGGAATGACTCTAATTTTCACATACTCATGTATTTTTTCCTTGGGAATTTAGCCTTTGTAGATGCTTGGTTATCATCCATTGTGACACCAAAAATGCTGGTGAACTTCTTAACCATGAGTAAGATACCTTTCTCTGAATGCATGATACAATTTTTCTCTTTTGTAATCAGTGCAATCACAGAATGTTTTCTGTTGGCAGCAATGGCTTATGATCGCTATGTAGCTATATGCAAGCCTCTAATTTACCCAGTGATTATGACCAATAGACTATGTTCCCAGCTATTAGTTTTATCATTTGTAGGTGGCTTTCTTCATGCCTTAATTCATGAAAGTTTTTTATTCAGATTAACCTTCTGTAATTCCAACATAATACATCACTTTTATTGTGATGTCCTACCATTGTTTAAGATTTCTTGTACAGACCCTTCTCTTAATTATCTCCTTGTGTTCATTTTCTCTGGTTCAATACAAGTATTCAGTATTGTGACTATTCTTCTTTCTTATACATTTGTTCTCTTTACAATTTTAAAAAAGAAATCTGAAAAGAGTGCAAGCAAAGCCTTCTCCACCTGTGGGGCCCATCTCTTTTCTGTAACTTTACACTATGTCCCCTCTTTCTTTATGTATGTGCATCCAACATCATCAGAAGAAAATGATCAGGAAATGATCTCTCTATTTTATGCTGTCATAATCCCAGTGATAAATCCATTTATCTACAGCCTGAGAAACAGGCAAATCACAGATTCACTGAGAAAGGCATTGAAGAAAAATGCTTAGATCTCATAATAATATCTACTCTTTTTTCATTAAAATAAAACATTGTGGAAGAAATTGTGAATGTTTTCCATAAAATTCATTGATTTTTTCAGTTATAGTTCTGCAATGTTAACAATTTATGTACTCTATTACCTCCTTAAAACATTTGCATCCTTTATTCAAAAACATAAATAATTTTTATATATTATGTATTATGTTATAACAGAAACAATAAAGCTGAAAAGAAATGACACATTTTACAGCTTGTGTTCTTGCATTATTTACATACTGAGCACTAAAGTGAAGCTCTTTAGAAAGGACTTGGGTGTTAAAACCTTATATAGATAATAATGCTCTGTAGCTTGGACTCCTATTGTATATATACTTTTGCGGGGGAAATTTATTTTTGAATGAGAAGAAAACTCAGGAATACTGCTAATCATAGAAAAGGTCTTTCATGCCACTTGTCTTACAAAGTGGTGGTTTTACATCTTGGAATTATTCAACACATGTATTACTCAGAAATATCAATTAAATTTTGAACATAGTCATAAAAATGAGAAGGGCGCTAAAACAGTGAGTGAAGGATAATGGTAAGGATGCATCAGTGTTCTCTGAGCAAAGAGGAGACGTGTTACTGCTTTTTGTTCCTGATGCTTTTTAAATCCCTTTTCAGATTGTTGATTTTTCTGGGCAATCAAAAAGCCTCACTAATTCAGAAAACTAATGATAAAATAAATAATTCAGCATGAGTGGACTTAGGGAAAAAATGGCAGAATTTGAATTAAGTGTTGTTAATCTTTTGTAAATGCAAAAAAGAGAAGTCATAAACATTGAAAATTTATTGGAATGTTTTATTCACAGGAGGGACCCTAAATGCATATTATCAAAGTTGGAGCAGTGGTAATATGGAATAATGTTGTACTATCTATTTTTTGGCTGGGAAAGAACTCACTGAATGCCTGGTTTCCTTGCTATTCAGATTCTTTAAATATGATGTGTGATCAGTCTGCAGTTATCCCATTGCCATTTATCTTTCAACAGTAGAATTCTATACCTTTTTTCTAGGGATACAACTAATTCCCTCAACCTAAAAATTACTGTCATGTTTACAAAATTATAGTTACTATATCTTCCATCCTATCTGTACTTTCATCCCCCTGCCTTCCTAAACTTTGTCATCAGATGATTCTTTTTATACACATTTTAGATTAATTCATATCCCAGTCTGAGAACCTTATTGGATTGTCATTATTAAGGGGTTAAATAGCATTGCAGGAGGAGAGCTCCACAGACAAGAAAATAGAATAGGGGTCTCCTTAGGTTTTCTAGTTTATCCAGACTGGAAGGAGTTTAAAGCAAACTTTACAGGACAAATTCCAGTGGGAAGTAGGTCAAGGATAGGGTTAGAGAGAGAGAAAGAAAAAAACAGATAAAGAAAGACACCAAATGGCCTTGGGACTTGCACAAAGAGACCAGAAAAAGACCTTACAGGCGGGACACAGAAAGAAACCCAAGTGCACAAAGGATAAGCCATCTCCACCTCTAATAGAATGTAGGGGAACAAAAGTAGGAGGAAGGTCTGACTAAACTGAAGGCAGTATATGCTCACACCTGTACCATATACATAAGTACTCACTCTAGGATCACTGCATTATGCAGTCTAGAGTCACTATATTTATCACATAATTATAGACTACAATAGACATTCACACTCCCCCTTACTAACTCTAAGCTGAGCACGAATAAGGTACCTCCTTGCCAATCAGCTGTCCACCCCAAAGATAAGGCTTAAAAATTAGTTTAAGGGCAAATAAAGAAAAAGACAAGAAGTTGAAAAAGTGATATTAGAAAGAAGTGCCCAGAAACCCATTCAGTCATGGCAAGTTCTGGGTTGAGGGGGTCCCACCTATAAAGGTAGCCCAAAACAAAGGAGTAAAGGGTCCTCCATTTTTCTGGAGTCCCAAACCTGATTCTTCCTTATCAGGGTAACTATCTATCCTCTCCTCTCCATCATTTCCTCTCTACAAATAAAGGGTCTTTTCATTAAAGTTTGTCCCTCTAACTTTTTCTTGGGGCTGAGTTTCTGATCCTGGTGGGCTGCTCAGACAGCAGATCAGGGGTTCTCATCCCTTGGATTCCACACTTTTATTATATAGGTGTCTAAATCAGCATTTGTAGAGATGATCATCACTATGTCTAGGTTATATGAGGTACATGTCTATGTGTGTGTATATATATATATATATATATTATATAGGCACATATGCATCTGTACTTTCAGTCTCCACCTTGCTTTTCTCATATTGGCATTATTTGTGATTTATTGTCACATAGTGTCACAAATATATGCTTTATTGTCCTCCTATCATTCTAGTCATGAGAATAGTAGAGACTTTTACTTAAAATATCCTTTTACTGTGGAGATAATTACATATCAAGATCAGGTATCACATACAAATGTCATAACTAACTATAATTCAGTTTTATTTTTCCAAATGAATGTTTATTCACAAGTTGTTTTGTGCATGTTCAAAAGGAAACTTTATCATGTTGTTATCATGTTCATAATTTATTACTACTTTTCCTTGACCTGGGGAACAGAACAAAGTACCTGGCCTAGCCTCCCTAGTACTTTGTGATCTCTGAAATGCTGACTCACTGTGGGCCATCTAGCTTCTTCCAGCTCCTCCCTTTGAAGGCTAGTCACATTCAGAATTTTGGGTTTCTCTAATCATTAAAGCTCTCTCATAATCTAGGCCCTCCATGGTGAAGACCCTATGGGTGGTGGGTCCACATGTATCACCTGTTTACAAAGTAAGACTCCACAACTTGAGCCCAGAATTACTGGACAAGCCTACATTTTAACAAGGTCTATGGGAAATAAATGGGCATTGATGTTAGGGAGGCCCACATACAGGTCACCTTCAGTTGAGAAACTTGTCTTATGTTTTCTTCGGCTACTTCTTCTAACATTTGACTAGTAGGATTTCTCATCAAAATTTCCACTACAGTGAAGAAGTTGCATATTTACCCAGGTGGGAGATTACCTTTCATGCAGAGGATTACACAGCTTGGGGTCATTTCCTTCAGAGAAACTAGATCTTTGCCTTAAGGACATCACATATTGACTAGGTCAGAAAGAACTATAGCATTCCAAGTTTTCAGAACAGTACATTTCAGATAAAATCTCATTTCTGCAAATATAACATAGTTGTCAGATTGGTGGACTATGTTGTGTGAAAGTACAATTTTAGTTGATGACATGTGAAACATCTATGATGACTTGAAGTTTATGATTGTAGAAGTCTGTAATACTTGGGAACAACCTGAACTTCTCTTTCATTTTCAAATTCACAGTGCCCAGTAGAATGACTTAATTTTTCTACTGGGAACTCTCTGGTACTTTTCAGGGATCTTCAAATATCTACTCCTTCCATCTCTGGAAAGAAGCACACAGTTATAAAACTGGTTGATTCTTGTGATCAATGCAAAGTTATATAAGCTACATTTTGCTGGGAGTGGTGAATGAAACTTCAAACTAAATCAATGTGCAAAGAATTGCCAGTTTTGTTATTGTCAATCCTGTGCTGTTGTGTTTCTTGTATTTTATGAAAACTAATTGTTTTAAAGGATGTCCATAATCTCTTTTAATATGTAAGTAAAACAGTATATTTATTTTGAAATTCTTTGTATAAAAGCTAAAATATTATTTAAATGGTAATGATTTACATTGGATATATAAGATACAAAATTATCAAGATAAAAGATGAAAACTCACATTTTATCTTCGTATTTTATTTTTCATTTAAAATATGGATAAGCAATGATATTATGAGACTTATTTGTTCCTTTAATGACTTTGTATTGAGATCAGAAACTTTAAGGAATTTAAAATTTGGTTTAAATATGCAAGACATTACAATTCTTTTTTTTTTTTTGGTACTGGGGATCGAACTCGTGTCTTTGGGCTTGCTCAGCAAGTGGCAAAACCACTGAGCTAAATTCCTGGCCCTGCCCTTACAATTCTTATTAATAATTCTTATATAAGAAATATTTTTGGTGATAATGACAAAGTGGCCAATTATATTTAATCAATCATAATTCTCATTTAAACTTTTAAGGTGGGATTTTCTATTGGCCCAACCCTTTTCCACATCTTATACTAAAAACAATTCATTTCAAATATTGTAATATGAAGATAAAGAAACAAAATTTTATCTTATATATTTCAGGTTTGTCACATGATGCTTTGATATACACATTCATAGTCAATTAAAAATAGAGAAGAGCAAAGTAATATCCTATATCTCATATTATAATTATTTTTTTGGCAGTATTGGTGAGAGTACCCCAAATCTAGTACCTTGGGAAATCACCAGTATACACTATTATTAAGGATTAAAGCTGTAGTTCTCATATTGTCCTCCTATTTAAAGATAACAGAAAATTTAGATGCACAAAGAATATTAGGAAATGCTAATATATTTATGAACAACACAATTTCTGGAACAAGATTTTACATGAGGCCTCTTCTAATTCCATGGGAGAAAAATACTCTGTACTTTGAATCAAATGGAAAAAATGTCTTTCAGTAGGCAACTTTTAATGAATTCCAGGATTATGGAAGCATGTACATCCTAACCTCTGAGCCTTCCCTTTATCTCAGTTCAGTCAAATAACCATTAATTCCTCATCCTACTAGAACATTTATTTTTGTATTTGGTTCCATACTTTACTTTGTTATTTTTGAGGTTCTCCCCTCTCCTTAGGTTCACAAAGCTCTGCTTTTTACTTTCCCCTTTGTTTTTCAGAACACTCTGATTATCATTTTTTATGATTTCTCTTTTGCCTCTCCATTGTTCAATCCAGTGCTGTAGGTTCCAGTAAGAAATGAGTTTCTGAAATGGAAATTTGCTAAAAGTAAAAAGTAGTAGAGAGAGGACAGAGGAATCAGCTTGAAAGATGGGCAGGAGGATAAGAAAACAAGGCAGTAAATGAACCCGAAAGTTATGACTCAA